AAAATAATGAATGTAAACAAACAAAAGTGAAAAACAATGATAACAATGGCATATTCAGGAAAAGAAAATATATCGCGAAAGAGAGAAACAAAAGTAATTAATGAATTTCAATTAGTGAAATTACCTGAACTTGGGATCAATCGTAATATTTGTGATGATGTAGCTTTGGCTGTTAGCATCGAAGGACTTGAAATTGCGCTAGCAGTCGTTGTCGTTGTTGTAGTTGTTGTGATATTAGCCGTGGAGATTAGCAGTGATTGCTCCAAACCATTCAAACGACGTAATGTTTCAGCTGCTGTGGAACGCAAACACATCTGCAAAATAGCAGTAATCAATTTTAGCAAGGATGGATTGAATCGGGAAATGGAAAAAAGCGGGGGAGATGGGGAGGAGCGGGAGGAGGAGGATAGTTAAAGAGAGAGAGAGAGAGAGAGAAGGATGAAGAAATGAGAGAATATGGTGGGAAGAAGGATGCCAAAGGAGTTAAAACGAATATGTAATTTTTTTTTTTTTAATATGTAAATTTTTATGTAAAACGAATATGTAAATTCTGAAGGCTGACAAATGCATAGTGGCAAGAAGGATTCTGAAAGGGAATCTTCGCTTATAAATATCTCAAAGGCATTTCTGATTTCAAAGGAAGATGAAATAATAATCTATTTGAGTTTTTTATTTATATAAAATTTATTGCAGATATTTACAAAGTTTGCTTTCCAAAAAAAAAAAAATGAAGCATAATGGCATTTTATCATTTAACTACTGAATTAATAAAAGTACGAAAGGATTATATTCATCTAATAAGCAGTTAACCAAAGATTGAAAAAAAAGATAAATTTAATAATTAAATTAAAAATTGAAAATTATCGAAATAGAGTGAAAGCTCATTTGTGAGATGATATTCAGTTGTAGAATTGAGGAAAAAATCGTTAAAAAAGTGATGAATTTGACACAAACAGGCAAACAAATTTAGAACATTTAAATAGGCCAAGCAAAGGAAGAAATTTCTCTTTTTTTTTGCATCGAATTAGAAGATTTTTTCTGCTATTGATAGCATCGAAAAGGACAGACAATGAAATATCACGATCATTTCATTAGTATATAATATCAGAATTTGAATATTTAATATTCTCTACTGCTCTTAGAACTATTTAAAAAGATGAATGACAAAACAAAATTTATACAAAATGATAAGAAATCATTGATGTTAATCGGATTAACTTTGTATTCATAGACTTTCTTAATTATCTTTACTAATTGTTTCTTTTTTTATTAGATTATCTTTACTAAATTTAATCTAATTGAATTTGCTAATATAAAGATTGATTATATGAATGAAAAAATTATCGATGCTTGTGTGATTTTTTATCCATGAAAATTGATAAAAATATTTGTCACTGAATTTCACTTCATTCTAACATAATAAAATGTAAATTAGAGATGAGAAAAATGATAAAGAGGACGAATGAATTTGCCGATTAAATTTGAAATGGATACGAAACATTAGTATGTGTATAATTAAAGTGAAACGGAAGAAAAAGGCGGAAGGAAATGTAAAATTACAAGTTCTTCCACTTGCGATTGAACTTGATGTTCGAGGTCAACGATACGATTCCATAATATACCATTATTATTATCATCATTATCGTCATCATTTTCATCACCAATAGCACTACTACCAGTGATACAACTTTCATCCACGTTACTCCACATGCAAATCTGTAAAACAACAATCAATGATCAGATGATGTAAAACAACAATCAATAATGTAACTGATCATTGATTGTTGTTTTACAGATTTGATTATTTAAATTTTCAATTTATTTTTATTAATATAAAATCACTAATGATTAAATGACCGAATGGAAAAATGATAAAAGAAATTGCAAAAAGTAATAATAAAAATGAAAACATGGCGTAATTTTGTTCGAGGATTTTTTTTCACAAATATTTTGTAGTTTTTTCTTTTTCCATATGAATGATTTGATGATTTCATTTGATATTAATATAATTATAAGGACAACAAGTTCAGTTCAAAATGTAAATTCACATTTAAGAAATTCCATAGCAATATATGTTTGTCTAAGGAATGTTTGTTGTTTGATTATGTTAAAAAATATCAATGATAATCAATGATAACTGATAAGGGGCAAAATTTAATTTCGATTATGGAAAGAAAGACGATACAGCAAAGCATTGATAGAATGAAATTGATTATACAAAATAGAATTTATTACTCTGATAAGTGATAAGTTAGTAAATATGTGGAAAATAAATTTGAAAATTAAAAAAATATTAACATATATAAATTTTAATGTATGTAAAAAATATTAGTGTACATATATAAAATCTAATTGCTATTTAGTCACATCTTTTTATATCCGTTAACATTCTTTCTCTCTCTGTCACTCTTTGTCTTTCTTACTTAACAGTAGTTGGATGCATGATACTTTATACTTCCCACAATCTTCTCCCGTCTCACCTCGGTATCATAAAATTTCCCGATACCATTCATCAAAATATATTTTAGACACAAACATTTATTAATAATCTTTCAAGTTCTGAGATTTCTCAATATTCAATCGCATTCAATTTAGGATAATTTTTTTATTATTTGAATGTAAATTTTATTTATCACTAAATAAATAAAAAATTGAATTCATAAATTTGACAAAACGTATTCTTTTATTTCAAGAAACATATAGCAAAAAATAGGAGGAAAAAAGTGAAAGTTCCAGTAATAAATGGTTGATAAGTGATAATTCGAAGAAATTGATAATTTCAAACAAATCAAATGTTTGCGAAAAAGTGCAAATGGAAAGAGTGCTTCTCATCTTTAAGTTGTCATCGTAACAAAACCAAAATCACACGTATTTTTTCATTTCTCT